AACGCAGGCTAATGTAGCCTTGCCCAAAGCTTGGACTGCTGAGACAAGCCCAAATGGGGTTCTCTGCACCAGAAGTTTTGAGGGAAACGGACTCCCCAGCTGTCTAACCGGCATTTTGTGACTGAGGTTCTTCAGCTGAAGCCCAAGCGAGATCAAAATCAGCAACCAGACCTTACCCCATTTGGGTGTCTTTTGAGGCAACCCCAAAACAACGCCATATGGGTTTACCTGGGGAGCGGGAAAAACCGGGTGGCTTTGGAAGCTTCACGGAGCTTGCACAAGTGCAATGCCCATCACGCTGTCGTTGCATTCAAACCATGTGGCCTGGAGAACCCCGAAGAAAAGCAAAACAAAGCTGAAGAACATGCACCCAAAGCCATGCAGATATACAGGGCCGTGCACATGCCTTACGTCAGATATACAGCAAGTCTGGTGTCCATTCAGATTCCCTTCGCAAAGCGATTGACTCGGGCCAACAGACTGTTGCCGAAAACTGTGGCCAAACTCGAACTCAGTCTCGAGGAACCCGCTACGAGCGTACCGTGCATGAAAACCTTAAGCTGGCACCCACGCCAGACGAAAATTATGAACCTGGCCCTCAGCTTGGTCTTGGCATCTTGTAGGCCTTGACAAAACCAAAAAGGTATGTCTTTGAGGGTACCTTTTGTTCAAACGGGGAAACCGTTTTTTTTTTTTTTTTGGGGGGGGGGGCTGCCAAACTCACAACGAGGCGTCTCTGAGTCATCGGCCGCATCGCTACCCCGCCTTGTTGGCTTCCTTGGCCTCCTCCAGTGCGGCGGCCTGCTCGGCCTGACATGCGCATGGCGCAAGGAGCGCCGCACTTTCGGGCGCCTGCCTCGTTATGTCCAAAGGCCACCTCTTTTGGGTAGGATCTGAAGAGCCTTGTGACTTGCAAAGGTTGAGAAGGATCCGAAGAAGCCACTCTGTCGGATCCTAGCCGATTGGCGGGGACTGGACGTCTTGCCATACGAAAGCCCCCGAGCTGTTGCATCACCCGCCAGCCTGCTGCAGGGCAGTGCCGGCCTTGAATCGGTTCATGCTGCGCTTCACACAGAAATAAATCGCATGCGTGGCCTGTGCTCCGGCCTCTCAACAAGTTAGTCGAACGGCCTGTGTGAAGATTGCCTCACTCCCCACGCCAGAGAGCTGCTCACAGAAATATCGAAATGCTTGGGCATGCACGAAAGGGTGCCCCAACCGTTTTGAGCACATGCCCAGCATTCTCAGTCGTACCAAAGTCACAACCTCCATCCCCGCCTTCTTTTCCCGGCGCCGGGGCCGCTTGTCCTCCTTCGTGGACAGCAACCGCTCGCTGGTCCAGCGCAGGAAGAAGGCTGCAACCTGAGCCGAACAGCTCAAGTCGTTCACAGAGACTCCATGCAGAGATTGTGCAAAAAAGTCGTGCATGCCTGATCTGAGATTCAACATGAGACGAGCGGAAACGGCCCTTCCTCATCCTCTTCATGATAACCTCCCTCTCCCAACCCCACACCTTCGCGGCAGTACGCAGCGCTTTCGCGCTGTTCTCATTCTTGTCCTGGCTCCGGCGCTGCGGCTCTCCCAACACATCCAAAGCCTCTGCGGTGGTCTGTCACACACACGCAGACACTCGCTTCTGAAACTGGATCAGCTCACAGTAGGATCAGCCATGCATGCTTTGTTCGACCATCTCTCCAGTCCTTGGAAGCCTTCTCGGGCTTTTTCAAGCGACCCGCTTCGGCGATGAGCCGTTTGGCTGCATCTGTGAGCAAGTCCACCACCTCGGCTGAAAAATCCCAGGGCGGCCTAGACGAAATGCAAGCCACCGACTATGTCTGATACGTTTTGGCAACGAAAGCTTCCCAAGGCCCACGCCCGAGGATGCAGACCTTCTTCCAGCCTGTGAACCAATGGTAGGCAGCTAAGGAAAATCAAAGCAGCCCTTGGGAGCGTCCATTTGCAAAGGTAGAACCAACGCAGGTGATTGCGTGCGCCGTACTAAGCTGGTTAGTCTTGGGTGACAAAGGCCGCTGGCCACATGCAACTGTGCAAGTGCAGTGCAAGCAAACGCGCCTTTGCCATGCCTGGAGCACGGCAAACAGCAGCGAGAAAGCCTTGGAATCTGCAAGGTCCTGGCGCATGTTCATTAGGTGCAGTCCGCAGCTGGCGTGCTCCTTGATTTCTAGCATGCATGGTCAGACATGTTTCAGTGGCTCCGTGAAAAAGGTTTTGTTTTTGCGAATCGTTCGATTGCAAATGCACCCGTGAAACCTCGACCCGCTGGTGCCCTTTCTAAACTGACTGAAAAACAAAGTTGGCACAACGATCATGATCTCCACCATCATTCCATGTGGTGTTTCCCGGACCCAAGGTGCAATCGTGAATTTGCCCGCACGTCACAGAATTCTGCGTCCTTGCCCTGGCTGGTCAGCAGCTGTCCAACCAACTTGTCCAAAGCCTTGTTGAGCTCCTACGATCCGAAAAACGAAGAACAAAAGAAGAAGCACAAAGATACGCAAAAATAAACTGCGCTTGTCTCAAGATGCTGGACCTGCCATGGGTGGCTTCCTGTTGCTTGTCCTTTGTATCCAACTGGTTTTGACAATCCTTCCACATGAGTCGTAATCAAAACCTGGTACAAAAATGGTGAACCCAGAAGCAGTGAGGAATTGAAAAGGCGGCCGCACCTATTTCTGGCTGGGATTGTCCCTTACTAACGCTCATCTACCCAGGTTTTGCTTGAGGCTCACATGGCGCTGGCCTTCTCGCTCCAGGACTCCACGTCCGGCAAGTCTGCGGCCCAGAGCCGGCCATCTGCTGGCTGGGCCAGCAGCTCCTAGCGTGAAGGACGAGTCCCCCCCTCCCTCCTTCCTCTCGATTGGAGCTGGGTGGGACCGGCTCACCATTTCAGAGCATGTGAGTCATTCCATCATGATTAACCATGCATATGGCTGTGGTTGTCAAAACCAATGGGATACCATTTTGGTTGGTAGGTGAATTCACCACCCATGTCAGTCGGGATTTTAGTGGGGATTGGGATTTTCACTGAGGGTACGGGATTTTGACCCATGACCATATCTACAACGCGTCTATTGCAGACTTCACTAAAGCATCCAAACTGCAGTCCGTCAACTTGTCTACTGCCAATCAACTCATCTCCAGGCGACCTCGGGCTTGAAGGGTATCGTAAACTCCATGACCAGGACGACTGGACGCTTTGATCCCATAAGCTGGCGGGCCATCACAGCAAGTAGTCAAGTATTGCAAATGATTTTCAGGTTTGGTCGGTGAGTTTGGTCCTTGGTTTATGTCTTGCAGTGCTTTGGTAGGTTGGCAATGTCGTGCTCCAAGTCCGCTCGCAGTGTGCTTGTTTTCATTTATGACAATTAATTACATGTTCCGGTCCGCCATGAAACTCTTGGCACATCACACCATGAACACGCTCCGTGCCTGGCTTTGGAAAAAGGCCAGGCGCCAATAAAAAGGCTGCAGGAAGAAGAAAGGCTTGGAGGGACTGGAAAGGACTGGGCGGGGATGAGAAAAATGTGATGCAATGAGAAAGGATGGGGGGATGGAAGAGAATGGGAGAGAAACACTGCTAGTTGAGAAGGACAACACGCTGGGGCGTTGTTTTGGCACGCTTATTTCCCCCACCAGGACAGGTCATGTCGTTCTGTCGTTCATCTCGTGGGCTAATCAATGTTTTCACCAAGCCATGCAATTCATTGGAGAACGCCCTTGTCAGCCGCCCGAAGCGACTGTTGCCCAATGTGTGTAAACAAGAAACTACGTGGCAAATCGAGTCTGCTCCACTTTGACGCACACACACACACACAGTTAAATGCCTCAAAGAGAGAGGAAGTCTGACGTTCGAGTAACTATGAATCGAGTCCAGAGGTTCGACCGGCGAATGCAGTGGTTTCCGCTTAGATGCGAACACGCTACCAAGTCAAACAAAAAGCACACACAGCAGGAGAAACAAATGGCCAAAAGGATGTTGCATCACGGTACGCGCGGGTGATCAGTCCGAGCTTTCCCCATGGTGGTTAGCTTTGCTGGCGCAAGTCACCACCATGGGCAGTCACCACCATGGGCCTGTTCGTAGGGCTGAGCATCGAGCGATGCATACGCATACCATCACGCAGCCTGCCTCGCACAATGAGGCGGCGACCCGAGGGCCGTGGCATGCGTATGATTTATGGGATAACAGCGCATCTGCGTGCTCCCATGTGCAAATACGCATTGCCCGCACGTTTTTCTGGAGCGGGACGGCGGGGCGCACCAGCGCAAACTCATCATGATCAACGACGAGGCGCTGGTCCAGACGAAGAGCCTCTCGACGCAGCTGTCGCTCACCACGAAGCCGCCATAGGAGAGCAGATCCTGGCCCCCACGGACGTCTCACTGTCAAACTGGACGGTCCGCCCCAGCAGCGGCTGCAGCGTGGTCCTGGCCACGCACACCGCGGGAGTGAGCGTGGACGGCTACACCCTGACCCTGGCGGCGAACCCGTGGAACATTGTGCGCACCTACAACTTGACCCCGGGCCGAGAGCTCCTCTTAGCCTGCCGCTACCGGCTCGGCGCGGCCTCCAACTTCGTGGTGTACATGTCAGAGGCCGACAACGTCTACGACCCATTGTACGGCAGCTTCGCGGGAGACGAGGGCGCCTGGAGCACGGCCAAGATGTACTTCACAGTGCCGCCGAACGGAGTGGCGAAGCTGCACTTCGGGGCGCACTTCCAGGCGCCGGGCCTGCCCAACCAGACGGCAGGAACGGTGGACGTTTACGGCCTCCAGATCCTGGACGCAATCTGGAGACCGGCAACACGGCGGAGGAGGAGGACACGGCGGCCTCGGCCCTGCTGCTGAAGCACGAGTTCCTCGACGGAGGGGCCGACGACGTCACGCTGGCCACCCTGGGCGAGGTGCTGCTGGAGCCCACGCTCACCACGCTAGGCAACTTCCTGGTGCGCTCCAACAGCCAGGGCTCCGTGGCCTCGGCCAGCTTCACGGTGGGAGGCTTCCAGCTGGAGGGCTACGCCATGACCCTGAGCGCCTTCGCCTGGAACATTGTGCGCACCTACACGCTGACGCCGGGGAGACGCTACTCCTTCGGCTGCCGGTACCGGCTGGGCACGGCCTCCAACTTGGTGATGTACGTCAGCGCGGCCGACAACGACTTCGTGGGCGTCACCGGCACCTTCCTCGGCACGGCCTCGCAGGGCGTCTGGAGCACGGCGCGCCTGGACTTCTCGGTGCCGCCGGGTGGAATCGCGAAGCTGCACTTCGGAGCCTTCGGCGGGGCTATCCCCGGGCTGGTGCAGCAGTCGGCGGGCACGCTGGACCTGTACAGCATGCAGATCAGGGCCAGCGCCTTCGAGAGAGAGTCTGTCTCGGTAACGGACCTGCTGGCGGACTCGCTGGCCCTCACGGGCTCGGCCACGCTGGACGGGCTCACCGCGCAGGGCAACGTGGGCTGCGACCAGCTGCTGTGCAACGACGTGAACTGCACGGACGTTTTCACGACGGGCGTGGACGCCTCGGGCGCAGTCTCCTGCGCTGCGCTCACAGCCACAGGCACCGTCGCCGGGGCCACGCTGACGTCCACAGGGGCCGTGTCAGGCAGCTCGCTGAGCATCACCGGCGCAGCTCGTCCTCAAACCAGTCCGGGTCGCGCACATCCCACAGGAGCGTGGGATGTGCGTGGCGCAGGCTGCGGTAGAGCTCCTCCTTGGTCCTGTACTGCTTCTCCGTGATAGGGAAGGGCGCCGCAGCTTCTCTGGCTGCGGCGAGCGCGGTCTCCCGCCAAGCCTTGGATCCCCTGTGACGGCCACAAGGCACGAAGACGACCCCGTTGTGCTCCTAGCTCGCAATGGTCGCGACCCCTGTGGCCGCGACAGCCTTCACCACCGCCTCTGAAATCTCCCGCTCCTTGAGCTGGTGCAAGTACGCCTGCAGTGAGGCTCCAGGGAACCTAGTCCTGCACATCTGCATCTGCGGGTTGTAGGCGGCCTCATCCTTCTTTCGCAGAATCCGCATCTCTGCCACCAGCTGCCTGGCAAAGTCAGGGACGGCAAACTCCGCCAAGATGGGCTCCCCGCCCCCAAAGAAGTTCTGGTCTTGGCACTCGCCCGTGGGGCGCCAGTTTCCGCCAAGATCTCCTCTCGATGCTCCACGTAGTACCTGACCAGCTTCGCGCCCGGGTGCCTCTGGAGAAGGATATGGGCGGCACTGCAGACTTGATGCAAGTCGAGGCAATCACAGTCTGCAAAGCTCCTGCGCTGATTGGACATCCGAAACAAAAAAAGGAACACAACCTACCCCAGTCCTTGATCTCCTTCTTGAAGCGGAAGGTGGACGCACTGGCTCTGTATGAGTCAATGCCCAGCTTGTCGAGCCCGTCAAAAACGGTCGGCAGGTTCGGGAACATGCCTATCCTCTCCAAAAGCTTGTCGATGGCATCGCTGTTGTCCTGGTCCTGCATCTCCAACTTCTTGAGCTCCTGCATCAAACCCTTGTACAGATTGTTGTGACAGCCGCCCGGGACGGTCAAACAGATCTTGGGCAGCAGCGCTCTCCTTGTAGGTTGAAGCCACCAACCCCAGGGCGTCTTTGTCCCGGATGAGCAGGATTGCCAAGTCTGTGCGAAGCCCCAGCTGGGCCGCCGCCCTGGTCTCCGCCAGCTCTTCGATGGCCTCGCGGTTGATGGGCTCGTACAGCACCTTGGAGATGCAAAGGCTCTTCTCATCCTGCACCTCGCGGACACCCACAGACGAGCCAGTGAGCGCTCGGGTCGCTTCCTGGAGGTAGTTCCTCCTGGGGCGCTTGGGAGCGGGCCCATCCTGATGCTCCTGCATGACCACATCTGCCGGCGCTTCCTCAACTGCCGGTGGAAGATGAAATTCTGACGGGGTGGACAGGTCTAGAAACCGCCAGGAACTCACCTTCTGCCGCGCCAAGCCCGCCTCCAGCACTTGAATCCGCTTGAGGTCGGTGGGGGCCTGCTGCAGCAAAAACTCGCTCAGCCGGTTGGCAGCCTCGTCCCCGCCGATGGTTGCCTGCTGCAACTCCTCAGGGACCAAGCAGGGTGAAGAAAAAGGGAGGGAGACCGAAAAAGGGAACAATGACAAAAAGGGGGAGGGAGAAGGGTGTGGAACACGCCGCCTGAAACGCGGACTTCGGTCGCAGCAGATCTGGGCTATGGGCTGCAGCTCCATTGTCCTCAGGGCAGGCAAGCACAGAGGAAGTTTGGTCCGCAGGGTCCACAGGGCAAGCAAATGTCAAAAAAAAGGAAAACTGGTAGCAACCCGACGCCTGCTTTGCCGCGGTGTCGCCGACGGCCTGCGGCCTCCTCTTCTCGCCCCACCACAAGCACAGCAGAGTGGAGACGTTCAGGCGAACGCTGGCCTCAGGGTGGAAGCTCTGCACGACCTCCAGAAGATCCTTCTTCTTCTCCGGGGGCTGGTCGCCAAGGACCACGGGGATGGCCTTGTTGCCGCCTCCATTGCCAGCCTCACCAGCCTCGTCGCCGTCACCCTCGGCCTCGTCGCCGCCTCCATTGCCAGCCTCGTCACCCTCGGCCTCGCCAGCCTCGTCGCCGCCTCCATTGCCAGCCTCGTCACCCTCGGCCTCACCAGCCTCGTCGCCGCCTCCATTACCAGCCTCACCAGCCTCAGTGCCGCCTCCACTGCCAGCCTCAAAGGTGAAGTCGCTGGAGGCACCACTGTCGAGCACCTCCTCCACCGCCGCCGCAGGATGCGGAGGGTCCACCCGACCGATGATGTGATCCATGTTGACTGGTGTCAGGGATGACAAGAAGCCAAAACAAAATCTTGGAAGCAAAAATGCTGCGATCCCAATCGTCCATGCACAGGCTCGTGAGGCATCATTTGGTGGTAGAAACGAAACCCAACGAAGATCATCGGCCGTTTGGATTCGCATTTGGGCATGGTCATCAAATCGAAGCCCATACCGTTTTGGATGAGCTGCAACATTTGGTCGTGGCACAACGAAGGCTCGCAATAACAAAGGCTCACGCTCACAGGCTCACGCAACGATCAAGTGTCACAACACGACAGACATGGGCTGGCCTGGTCCGCCAGAGCAGGATGTTGCGATGTAGCCGCCTCAGCAAGCCGCACGTCGATCCAACAAAGTTGCCAATGTACGTCAATCCAACAAGCAACAATGCCGGCAATGCAAACCGGCAATCCAACAAGCCG